CCCTCCTATGAGCTCCTGACTCTTTCTGCAGCCTTTCTACTGCTACTCCTTGGCTCCTAAATCTTACTGCTGTCTTTCAGCCACACACCTGATCTTATGGTAGGTAAGATCTACACCTAGCCCTCTCGGACAAAGACAAAAAATCTCGGAGGTCAAGTGTGCAAGTTGCGCACGTTTAAGATCCCTTGATGGTCCAAAACCAATAAGAGTTGGCTTCGGCTGTCACCCGGGCAAAATTCAAAATTTCCTACGAACTGAAAATGTTTGGTGTGTCCCGCGCGCTAATATGATCTCATGCAGTTGCGAGCGCCGTAAAACACTTACCAATTATTTTTTTATATAAAAAAAAATGACAGGCTGGTAGTCAGAGAGACTGACGGAAAGAACACGACGAGTAAAACGAAAGGCTACTGAATCATCCGAAGAGATTCATGATCAATTTTAATCCAAATGTCAGGGAGCTAGCGAAATCCTAGCCAGCTGTGCACGGTTTTTAGCTCAGTTTGGTATCATCCTGGGCTATGTTTTAGGTGGTATGGGTGACCCTTGCTCGAATCCCTCCATGCAAGTTTTGTGTTCTTGTTTAAAGAGTTTTTAACGCTCTTCACGCTCTCGACATTTTGCTACGTGACGTACCTGTCTTTGTTGATGCTGTTTGTTTTTGCAACGCCTTCACATCAGAAAGTGTTTTATGGTTGTAACATATTATTCTCTTCGTGCTGTCTGGCAATGCGTGGAATGGCTGTCTGTGTTTGGCGCCCCTTTCAACTTTGAATGATAACCCCGTAGAAACACCACATGTTCAAAAATACCCATTGAGAAGTTAAAATAGGGTCGCCCGCACTGCACTCCAGGATTTGCTGGTCAAGAACCCCCCCTCAACCTTATAAAGCCCCGAAAAGCTGTTCTCTCAAAATGTATTTCTAACCATTCGCCCATATCGTATGGGCTCTCGTTCAAAGCTCCCGGGCTCGAATCCGGGTAGCGAGCGAAAAACTTTCTTCTCTAAAAGTGTCTCGTTTTAACTCATTTCCTGCTCTCTGGCAATGTTCTGTCGTCTGCTTTCGTCTCCACTTTTTGCCTCCTACCCCTCACCTCCTTTGCCCTTTCCTCTGGGCTCCTGACTCTTTCTGCAGCCTTTCTACTGCTGCTCCTTGGCGCTTTCTTACAGCTGTCTTCCAGCCACACCTCTAATATTCTGATAGGAAAGATCTATATCTGGCCTTCTCGGATAAGGGCGAAAAATCTAGGAGGTCCCGTGTGTGCAAGTTGCGCACGTTAAAGATCCGGTGGTCTAAAATCGATAAGAGTAGGTTTCGTCCGCCACCTGGACAAAATTCAAAATTTCCTACCAACTGAAAATGTTTAATGTGTCCCGCGAGTTCATATGACCTTGTGCAGTTGCGAAAAGGCTAGATGTTAATCTTTCCTACCAGAAGATCAGTCAGGGGTGTGACTGAAAGACAACAGTAAGAAGGAGCCAAGGAGTAGCAGTAGAAAGGCTGCAGAAAGAGTCAGGAGCCCAGAGAAGGGGGCAAAGTAGGTGAAGGGATGGGTGCAAAAAGTGGAAAACAAAGCAGACGAAAGAACATTGCTAGTGAGCCGGAAAGGAGGTGAAAAGAGACTATTTTAGAGAAGAAAATATTTCGGTCGCTACCTGGATTCGAACCCAGGACCTTTGGATGAGAGGCGAACACCTTAACCTTTAGGCGTCGAGAACCCCCTTGACATGTTGTGGTAGGGTAGGCAGTTCCTTTCCAAGCCGCCTTAACTTCCCCAACTCGAAGTCAGGTACCCATTACTGCTGTATTGGCAGGAGGGGGGCGAAAAAAATAATACTAAATATATGTTATATACAGAAATCTTCTAGACTGTCGATACAATAGTGCACACAGTGTGTTAACAAAGAACGAGCAGAACAGGCAGTGAAAAGCAGTTGC